GCTCCGGGTAAAAATAGAGGCGGCCGCTGCGCAAGGCTTGGCCCAGACTCCAGCCCCGCGAGCCGAGCTCGAGCAGCGGCCGCGATCCGGCGTGATCCCCGGGAGCTGCCAGCAGGTGTTGCTCAAGGTACAGTAGCAGGCCGAGCAGCGGGACCGCAGGGCCGGGGTGGGGGAACTGGGGCGCGGGGGGAGGGGGCAGGAAGTGAAAGAGAAACCAAGTCGAGGAAGGAACAGGAGATGCTGATCAGGAGCTGGGCGGACCAGCTCCTCCACTCCCCGGAGCCCTGGAGTCCGGCAGGGAAAAGATCATTCCCCCAGCCACAAGAGTCGACAGAAGTTATTTTAACCTGCCTGCTTCCTCTACCACCTCCACCTCATTTCCACTGAGTGAGGAGGCATTTCCCGCGTGGCTCAGCTCTGAGGTTGGGGATTCAGGTGGAGAATGACATCACAGCTGGTGGGCTGACCTAGGCAGGTGGGCACTTTGGTGGCATCCGTGGCCAACGCGATCTGAGTCACCGAGAGAGAGGGTGGCTTCTCTGGTCGGGGTGCTGCATATTCCTGTGACACATATGTTCAGAGAGAGGCACCAGGAAATCTTTATCACCCAGTATTTTCTGAGCATGTGCTGGATCCTGCAGTGGAGTAGGTGGATCCCATTTTACAGATGTGCACACTGAGGCCTGAGGTTATCTGGTTAGTAAGCAGTGGAACTGGGGTGTCATCCAGGTTGATTTGTGCCCCGAAATTCATAAACCTGGTGCTATTTCCAGGACACCAGGGTTCATGTGGGGAGGACGGGTGAATTTAGATGCCCCCTCCCACCCACCAGGGCTCATCCAAAAAGGATGGGGAAGTTCCTTTCTTATAGAGAGGTTGGATCCATCCAGTTCAAACCTGATGGGCAGCTTTGGCGTTAACCAACACTGATCCTGTTTCTATCTTTGCTTCTCAGATTCCTTCTGTTTTTCTACAACCTAACATTTTATTTCCTACTTCATTTCTGAATATGCAATTCTCAGACTACTCTGCCCCACCCCAGTATACAGTTCAGCACCTACAAGTGCTCTGTGTTTAGCCAAGACAGACCCCTTGAGACAAACTTCTGGTGTCCTAAAGGAACCTGCTTAAACTGCACATCAGGAGACCAGAGTCTCTATATTTTGCTTGTGGGCACAGTGAAAAGTTTATTTTATGCATGTTAAATCCTGCATACAAAACAACATATCTGGTCATATGGCTTTCATTAGCTCCCAATTTTGCACATTTTATTCAACTTGTCATGAATACCCGACTTAGGCTTCAGCTATGCTTCTTCTAACAACCCTTCCCCAGCATTCTTGTCTGAGAATTCCTTCCTCCTGTGTTATCCCTGACTAGCTAACACTGCCTTTTCCCTCCCCCAAAACACCCTGACCAACTTAACTCCAGTTTCAAGAAATGTTCACTTTTTTTCATTAATCTCATGTTATATTTGTAACAATTTAGAAATCATAGGACTTGAAGTTCTGATAAAGAAGAATCATGTAGGAGATTCTTTTTCTTTTCTTTTTCTTCTAGTTAGATTGGGATTCTAAAGGCTTGGGAAGCATACTTATAAAGTTCACTAGCAGAGAGTGACTATTTCCAAAGTTCTCGGTGATAAATGATTTATAAAGCAGGTATTCAATTTCAAGATGTAAAATAATAGTGTAAGTCAGAAGAGGGAAGAACATCATCCCATAGGGATACATATTTCCCTTGGCTTTTTCTCAATAAAACATCTTATTTTTAAAAATTAAGTTTTTCAAGATGTTAAATAATGCTGTAAATCAGGGGAGAGGCAATCATCCCATATAGGTATACATATTTTCTTATTTTTTTCCTCTCTGGAATATCTTATTTAAGAAAGTAAAATCAGAATCTCTAGGAAGAGCACTGTGAACTTTCTTCCCTGTAAGAAACAATAAAATACTTTGTAAATAGAGGCAACTTCATGAAGTAACAGATGCTTTCTGTGAAGATATAAAACTGAGCCTGAATATAAGAAGAAGTGTGTGCTCAATTGGTCAAAGAAAAGTTGAAAGTTGGACCCTCAGTGAGACAGAGTTGTTGGATTCCAGGATTGTTCTAAAGGGGAGTCCAGTCAGTCAGACATTTCACTGGCTCACTGATCACCCAGTAGTGTTACTGAAGCCAAGAAAGGCTTTCCATTAGATAATGAGTTATGAAATATGTCTCACACTGGAAAAACCAGTCATCTGCTGATGTCATGCTGATTCTAACCAATCGCAAACAAAGCCCCAGCCCTCCTCGGCTTGTCTGGTACCAATGTGTGACTGTACAAATAAGTAGTACAGTATAAAACTCCTCAGTGCCAATACCATGAAGAGGAACCCGGACAGCTCTTACCACACGAGACAAGAGTCTGCTGGTGAAAGAGAGGACCGGAAAGGTAATGCTTTTTAACTTACTTCTGAGCTCTTTCCACATTCCTAGGCAGGATGGTGAGCAGGACTTTTACAACTTCTTGGCACTTCCATGCAGATTGTGATCTGTACCTTTTTATGTGTTCAAGCAAGTGAATAGTGTTTTTAGCAGCAGAGCATGCAGATAGATTATGTGTTTCTACAACCCAATTCAGCATCTCTAGGCAAGGAATTGTGTCAAAGAGAAAGCGAATTTTTAAGTTACGTTCAAAATAGTAAATTCAGGGAATACACACAAACTCATATACAGAGAGGGTCCTGATGATGAGTTACATTTATCTCAATGCAGGTATTGGGACTCTCAAGTTGTTTGGAGTCATTAAACTTTGAGTTCTATTTCAACCTCTCTTGTAAAACTTAATTGGACTGCAAAATGCTTTGGGTACTGCATATGGGACGCCAAATAGGTAGATTATGTTATAAATCTTCAGTTTCAAAGATATTTTATTAAGCAATTATTAACACAAGTGCCACCCTTTCCCCATTCTCTTTCACCATCCCCCACTAGAAACAAATTAGACTCTTCAAGGAATGTTGACAAACTCTGAACAGTAATAGCAGGGTAACTGATGTTCCTGGACGTAAAAATCCTAAAGGTGGCTGGTCACAGAGAAAATCTCACAGGCAGATGCCTTAGAAAAGGGGGACGGGGTATCCAATTCAGAAAAGCTTTGTTACCTATGCAAACTGTAATTTTAACTTAGTATCACACTGGTCTCACCCTCCTCCCCTCGCCCTCAGTTCTTATGCTTCTAGTAATGTTATTTATTAACTTTTCCCCACCAAAGTACATTGCTTGACTATAATGCTCTGAACACACTAGGTGTCGAATATAAGCTGACTGTATCTACAGAAACTGAGAGGGCTTGCTTATGTGTGGGGAAGCAACTGAGAGGGAAGGAAAGCTTTAACAGATGGACCTCTTAAAGATACTTCTGCAGATAAAAGCAATAAGACAGAAAAATGAAAAAAAGGAGGGGGCGGGGGGAGGAGAATAAAAAAAACTCAGAGAGGCATTGTTTAAAAATTCACATTTTTCTTTTTCTGTGAACACTGAAATCCATGATGATTTCATCTGTGCTGTTCCTTTGAGAGAAAAAGAAGCAAGTCTGTTGACTGGTCCGGGATGCGGATAGGGAGCAGGCTGAACAAACTACCCCATGACAGAGAAAATTATTTACCAGTATATTTTAGAGATTCTTCCCCTGCTAGGACCAGTTATTCAAGTCATAGGAGCTCACTATTTGTATAAATTAATGTGGGAAAGGCCAGTGGAATTTTGCATTTTACCTGTGAAGTCAGAGCCAGTGGTGGTGAGCTGTCATCTGTGAGTGTGTGTGCCGGGCAGGAGGGGTGGCGGCAAAAGACAGGGGCCAGAGCTTCACTTCACCTGACACAAGCGTGTAACCCGCTGCCTGCCTGTGGACCTGCTGCCTTTTGCAGTTGGAAAAAGTAGAGTGTATTATATGACCCCAAACAAAAGTTCTATTTGCACTCCCCTCTGATCGCCTGCCAGTGTTGACGGCCCTGAACATTGAAATATGAATGAATGGGGGGAAGGACAGTCTGCAGGATTCCCTCCGGCCGGAAGTGACACAGTGGCCCCTCTTCTTGACCTTCACCACCTGCCTGCCCACCTCTGGGCACCCTGAGCCCCACCTTCCAGGCAGTGGCCAGGCAGGGTAGAGGGGTGCTGGGGCAGGCTGTTTCAGTCTGGTCCTCCCTGTTGATGGAGACAGGCTTTGCTTGTCCCTCCAAAAGAGGAAGAAGGTGAAGCAAGAGGACCGGGCAGAGAAAGAAACAGGGTGGGGGTAGAAATGAAGAAGTAGTAGAACCGAATCAGGAGAATTTCCTTCGGAAGGGAAAGTAGAACTCCAGAGAATGGTGATATTTGAAGAGAGGTGTGTGTGTAAGGGAGCAGAAGGCAGGCAGCCTGTCAGAAAGAGCTGTCCCTCCCCTTCCTAATCACAGCCTTTACTCACAGACAAACTCCCTCCCTCTCCCATTCACTCACTCACTTAGGGCCAATCGCTCTGTCTCTCTGTCTCTCTCTCTCCCCCCTCTCTCTCTCTCTCTTTCTCTCTCCCTCTCCCTCTCTCCCTCCCTCCCTCTCCCCCTTCTCTCCCTCTCTCTTCTGTCTCCCTGTCTCTCTTTCCCTCCCGTCCTCTCTCTGTCTCTCTCTCCCCCCCCACCCTGTCTCTCCCTTCCTCCCTCCTTCCCTCCCTCCCTCCTTCCCTCCCTCCCTCCCTCTCTCTTACTCCCGGAGACAGTCAGAACTCTCCTCCCTGACAGCCACAAACCTACAGCACTGACTGCATTCAGAGAGGGAACCTGCAGACAAAACTTCACAGAAAACTTTTTGTTCTTGTTCCAGAGAATTGACTGAAGAGGAGAAAGGAAAAAAAAAAAAAAAAAGAAAGAAAGAAAGAAAAAAAAAAACCAAAAAGAAAAAAAAAAAAAGAACCCTGTGCGTGAGGGGGGTGGAAAAGCAGAGCCTTTTAAAAGGGCAACACAACAACTTTTGCTGCCAGGATGCCCTTGCTCTGGCTGAGAGGATTTTTGTTGGCGAGTTGCTGGATTATAGTGAGGAGTTCCCCCACCCCGGGATCCGAGGGGCACAGCGCGGCCCCAGATTGCCCGTCCTGCGCGCTGGCCACCCTCCCAAAGGATGTACCCAACTCTCAGCCGGAGATGGTGGAGGCCGTCAAGAAGCACATTTTAAACATGCTGCACTTGAAGAAGAGACCCGATGTCACCCAGCCGGTACCCAAGGCGGCGCTTCTGAACGCGATCAGAAAGCTTCATGTGGGAAAAGTGGGGGAGAACGGGTACGTGGAGATAGAGGACGACATCGGACGGAGGGCAGAAATGAATGAACTTATGGAGCAGACCTCGGAGATCATCACGTTCGCGGAATCAGGTGGGTGCCTGCCCGGGGGTGGGGGTGGGGGTGGGGGGCACACTGCTCTGACAGTCCTCGGCGGCGGAACTTCTTGCCCTCCAACTGCACCCTGCCTGGGAAGGTCATGAGTTATTAGGGGACGGTAGCGGGTGGACCACGGCGAGGGTAGGGGGTTAGGGAGGTGGGGAGAGGACCTCCCAGACTGGGGTGCTGGGGTCCTGGGCAGAGCCCTGGCAGGAGATGGCTAGCTTACACTTGCTCAACTCAGCCGGTCGTCCCGGAGGAAGCCCTCGGCCCAATGTGGAGCATTAAGGTAGTCTGAGAGAGGATCCCTCGCTCTGCCTGCCCGGGGAACTAGATCAGAGGAGCCGGAGGAAAGTCGGGGCATTTTCTGGTGCTGGGGGGAAGCCCGGAGGCTTCCGGACCCCATCTAAAGTTTTTGCTGGCGGTGGGTGGGGTGGGTGGGGTAGGTGGGGGGATGGCGGCAAGCGCAGGATCGGGATGGCATGGCCCAGATGAAGTCATTGTCTTAAAAACATCCCTTTTTCTTTAAAAGTCCAATCAGGGGCCACATCGAGAAGCAGGGCATATTAGTGACAGTCATTTTTACCTTTAGAAACTCTGCCTCTAAAGACACAAGCATCACATTCTAGTGATGAACGACTTTAGGGGGTGGGGTGGGCTAGGGAACAGATGACATTGAACCATCAGTCACTTTTGGAACACTGACTTTTGCTCTCTGAACTAAAAAAAAAAAAAAAGAGTTTTGTTCTCTGTAAAGTTACTAAGAGCTCTCTGCCAAGGAATGCAACCTTGACAAAGTGCTCTCAGATACTACACTGAACTCCCACTCAATCCTTAAGAGGAAGAACTTTAATAAATAGATTCTAATCGTTGGCTCAGGACCATGCTAACCTGTTGCTGAAGAAAACAATACCTGTCAAAAGGGCCTGCTGGAGACCCGGGGTCAGGTTATTTTTACAGTTATGTGACCCAGATCCTTTTGCCTGTCTACAAGCCTGAGCGTGCTGCGCCTGGGCACACACAGATGTGTTAATTTCATGTTACTTTCATGGTAATGCCAGGCTAAAGAATTGCATCCCTTGCCAAATCCATTTGAAAGGAATGCCATTGTTTTGTTTGGTAGAGCATATGGCCAGTAAAGTATGTGCCGGGACTCCCAGCATTGCTGTTTAAAAGTTTGCCGCAGCAGTATAAACAATTAAGGCAACACTCAGAATTTCCAATCCTGAAAACCTGTTGACTCAGATGGTATATTTTCAAGAAAACCATGTGAGACCAGGGCATCCTTCTGGGGGGTGGGGTGGGGTGGGGGTGGAGCAGATAGCCTGCTGACTTGCTGGTTCCCCCTCCTAGGAAAAGCTCTGGTGTCCCGTGGGCAGTTTAGCTCTCTCACCAGAAGCTTCTTTCTTTTCAAGAAGGTCTGACTTTCTTCCCTTAAAGCTCTTTTTCCATGCAGTCCCAAAGGACTTTTGACTTTATCTTGTGAAGCTTACTGAGGGAAAGAGGCAGGTTGGAGTCTTTTTGAGCTGCCACCCAATTTTTCTTAACATTTTCTGAGGTCCTGAGCGGGGAAATGGATTCCAGTGGTATAGGCGCTGCTCCTTCTTCTGCCACAATAGGGACCCTGTATATGTTTTTATATACTAATTGCCACACAGAATGGCCTTAATTGCAGCTCTTCCTCAATTGGCTTTACCCACATCATATGACTAAGCAGACATATGCCTCTGGCCACTTTTAACTGCACACCTGATGCACCCGCTTCCTGACTTCTCCAACTTGTAAAGCAAAACACTCCTATGGCATTGAGAGATTTTGCAGGGAAAAGAATTTGAATTTTTGCCTTCTTTCTTACTTATGGCCTTCATCTCAGTGCCAATCTTTTTGTCAATTATATGAAATCTCGTCATTTTTCAAAAAACCTTTTCTGGCCCCTATTTGGTTTGAAAGAAATTGAGCTACTTTTTGAAAAGGTGGATTCATTTAACTCACATGTTGACTACAGTTTAAGGTCTATAATGGAAAACTCCTCCGGGTTGAGTTTACAGCTTGACTTTGGGCAAGTTGCTGGCTTCTTAGAAAAGGTTTTTGACACTTGCTCATTTTTCTCATTTGAGAAGTCTCATGCATCAACTTTAAGTCGACTTAGTATAATTTCACAAAAATGATTGCTCTATGGACAATCTACTCTCCGAGTAGAGTAAGTACTATGTGAGTATTTTGCTGCTCCTTTGCTAACCCAGAAGAGAGATTTATCATCAGAACAATTGTCGTGAATATATGAAAATGTCTTGTTGCTTTTGGGATAATTCAACCTTAGTAATTCTCAAATGATGTCAAACATCAAGATTTTTAAGAATAGCAAAGGGCATTCAGTTCTTTTTTCTCTAGATACCATTCTGTACAGCATAGAATTCAGTGTCATCTGCATGCATGTCACAAATGCTCACCATACATGCATTCTTCAGCCTCATGATTCCTCAGTTGAGGAATCATGTTTATTGTTACCTTTACTCACTATGACACTTGAAGAAGGCCAAAGGACTCGCACTCAGGTGCCAGGAACTTTTTGAACTGAGTCTGTCCCTTGTGTTCAGGTGGAAAGCACCCCACCTTGGTAAAGCTGATATGAGTTGCTGTTGACTAAGCGCTAAAGCATTGCCCTCAGCTTCTCTGAAATGTATTCTCACAAACAACAATGATTTTCTTTTTATATCTGTAACCCCAGATTGCTTACCAAGGTGACTGCATTTTTTGCAAGGCTGGCAACAGAATCCTCTGTTGTTTAACACCTTAAGGAACAGGAGGAAGAGATGGGTAGAGTCAAGCCAACTATCACCATAATTATCACTGAAGCCAAATTAGTGGTCTTCTTGACTTCTCTCTCCATTTTCTCTTTTTATGATTTGTGACAAAAGCTAGTCAGTCAAAGGAGGAGAATGGTATATCCTTGAGTCTCATGCCGATTCTGGTAATGAGGTTAGCAATTGATAGCACTTACTGAAGAAAGTATAGGGGAAGAAAGACAAATCAAGCACCAAGAAATAGAAAATACGCCCAGGTGTTGTTGAAAGCAACACATACATTTCCTTCCTTGGAACATTCTAGCTAACGGAAGATTTGAGTTAAAATGTACATACACAAAGGTTCCCAGACAGAGGTCTAAGGGTGGCTTGCTAGGATGACTGTTTTCCTCCACCCCAGGAAAGTCATCTCAAGGTGGACGTGACTCCCACTACCCCATGCCCATCTTCTGAACTTGCTGGGAATTCACCCTCACAGGGGTTATACACGCTCTTCTCTGGATAATGGAAATAATCGGCCACAAGAGGGCGCATTCCAAAGACTTTTGCTCCTTACCAGTTAGTCTTCCAGGGAAACAATTTCACCTACTGGAAGCCCCAGCCTGCATCGCCTTAATCTTGCTGATTAACAATCCGCCCTCCCCGCCCCGCCCTCCTTCCTTTCATCCTGCAGGATAAGTTAGGATTTTATGGGTTGAGAGGAACATGACTACCTGTAACATATTACATGAGACAGACGGTAAGGAAATAGGAATTGTAGTGATACGTATGGACATTCCACAGCTCTATGGAAGACAGAGGAATGATAAATTTCAGAAGCAAACAAAGCGGAGCCGGGAGAAATGTGACCGTGAATCATCAGCAATCCTGATTTGCTCACACGTCTCTCCCTAATACGGCTGCCTGAGCTTTGACAAAAAACTTCTTCCGTCTCCGTCTCCCCTGATGTGGTTGCCTACTGGGCCTGTTTTATCAGCAGTTTTCACCAGCGACAAAGGACAAGTGACTTCAGACAGGGAGGAGAAAGTCTATTTATTTATGCCTTGTGGGAACAGCACGTAAGGCTTTGGAGGATGCGTTTGTTTCTTGCACTGAGAGTGTAGAGAGAAATGGTGGAGAAAAGATGTGAAAAGAGATGGATTAGTGGTTTGGGCCAGAGGAGGAGGTGTATTGGAGTGGGCGTAGGGGAGGATCAGGGTAGAAATTCAGTTTTCGTATTTGGAAAACCCAGAATCATACCTTCTCAGGCACTTTGCGTAAAAATACGTGTTTCTCTTGGTCCCTCTTCTGCTAAAGTGTACTCAGGCACAATCTCTTGTAGTTCAGAATGCTTTATACCCGACTGGTTCCTAGCTCCAAAACCCAAAGTGTAAAAGTTCTCAGGAACTTTGGAAGAAGGCTCTGAAAGTCCGAGGGTTGAACCTGCAGAAATTTTTTCTCCTTTTAGGCATCTAAAATCCCTTCCTCCCTAAATATTTAACCTTTTTTTAATTGCTATTTAAATGAAAGATGCAGGAATGTGGCCGAGCATTTACAATTCAATAGCAGATCCTAAGCAAAGATAGTAAGTCTAAAAAAAAAAAATCAAGATAATTTATAACTAAAGTTTTGCTTTGGCAAGACCCTCTCCTGCAGGTTAAAGGAGGCATAACCTTCAAGGCCTCACTTGCTGCTTTTAGCAGAAATCCCTGGAAACAATCCAGATGCAAAATTAGTGCTTCAGGGAGCACACATGCTATATTCTCCCATCAGTGACTGTACCATGTCTAGGCACAGGGAAACTTTGACGAAGAATGGAAAATGAAAGTAACAGCTGTATATTACAGCGAGCCCCCCCACCCCCACGTGGTGAGTTTAACTCCTCCATAAACAACAAGGCTCTTTACATTAACATTAGAGACTTAATTATTACTCACATGGAGAAGGGCAGCATACTTTAAGTAGGACCCTGGTGAGGAGAACAAAACGTATCAAAAATGAAACACTGCATGTTAGTATCATTTATTTCATTGGAGTTGCTCCTGGATCCATGAACCTGCTGGTGGGGTTGGGTGGAGAATGAGCAGCATTTTGTATCCTAGTGTTGGGGAGGGGGAAGAACCAGGAACTTGGCTGCTTAACCCTTGGCATGCCTGCCTATATCTGTGAGTGAGTTATGAAAACATTTGAAAAATTCTGAAAGCATCAAAGCAAAGGAAAATGTGCTTTCAGGTATTTTCACTTGCAGGTTTAGAAACTCATTCCTCCATTCAATGCCTCCCACTCGGAAACATTTCTGAGGTGTTCCCTACAAGGTGCAGTAATCATCTCTCCTACCCATTTTTAGACACTTTTTTTTTCCTCCCTTTGGTATGTGTCCACCAAACTCGAGAGGTTTAAGTGATGAAATATTATCACCCACATGGGTTTGCGTGGGACTTCTTGGTGAATTACTCAGGCAGAGCAGGCTGTGATACAAGCGTTGCTCACAAGCCTCGGGAGGGAAAAAATAGCACAGAGGATGAAAAGAATATTATCATAGAGTAGGTAATGAAAGGTTAGCAAAGCCAGCAGCTATATCTAGTTAGGTAGGTAACAGTGTAGGAACCCAGTGCACACCTGTATAAACTAATGCTGTACCCCAAAGCACTATGGGAAGATTTCCATTCCAAGATTTTATAGCAGGAGATATTTAAGTCAAGCCTGAAACTGACTAGTAATTGATCCTAAACACCGCAGCCTTAGGCAAACTCCTTCCATTTTTCGAATTGCTGTGCATGGAGATTTGAGGATTGGAGCATCCTGAAAGCATCATTGCAGTATAGCCATCTGTCTCCGATAAAACACAGATAAAGCAAATGTAATCAAGTGACTACTTATATTTTTCATGCCTAAGAAATTTGAGGGTTGTTATATCTTTTTGAAACCTACAGCCCTGGTAAATATGAATTCCATCCAGCGCCTAGCTCTCTCATTCTGTGCCCCCTCCACTTCTGCAATGAAAGCTAGATGTAAAAGAAAAAGTAAATGCACTGCTTAATAAGTCAGAATATAATAGAACTTTGAAAATGTACCTGCATATAAGGTAGACATTAGGAAGCCTTGAATCTCTTTCTTCCCCCTGTTCTCCTGAGCATTATGGCAACGGCATTTTCGTGAAATTGGATCTCAGTTTTATTTTTTTTCCCTGATAAAATATCATGCAATATACAAATAGCAGTTCCAGAAATGGACACCAGGAGAAGGAAGCGACAGGCATGTCAATTAGTAGGGGAAAATCCAAATGTCAGAAATCTGGGGGAGAGATCCAGCACGCAGGCAATGGAGGCAAATACAGGGAACCGAGTCTTTCTGCTCAGATCATTAAACCGATGCATATTTCAGCACTGCGCCTCTTCCCAGTACGCAGGCAATGCCATGCAGTTAATTATCAGCCAGGACCAGGATGAAAGTCATTTTATGATGACTCTCTGATCCTAATATAACAGCACCTGACAGATTGAGTCCCCTCTAATGAGTACTCTCTTTGTACAATCCTCTCTCAGGAACACTAAATCATTTGCTTCCAAGTAGAGCTGCCTGTGGAGAAGGGGTGGGGCTATATTGTGCATCAGAAACCAACTCTTGAGAAATGAGGGGCTGCCCTGTAGGCTGTTCCTGGAAGCAAGGGGCCTCGGCTCGCTGACCCTCTGGAGGCAATTTACATGTGGTGCCACTGGTACAAGTCAGCTAGTGAGCATCTCACCATCTCTTCCCAGCATCTGTAGACTTCTCTGGATTTTATTCAAGGAAAGTCCAATGTGGGTGGGTCCGCACTGCCACCTGGACCCTCTCTTTACCGGGGACCATCTACCTTCACCCTCAGCCCCTTCTCCCCTGCTGGTTGAGAAATGATTGAGCCTGTGGAAAATGAGCCTGTGGAAATGAGCCCTCCCAGCCTGGGGACAGTCAGACTCTCCCGTTTCACACTCTTTCCTAGAAAAGCAAATCAGAACCTTGTGCCCGCTGGCTCCTCTAACTTAGCAGCTTCTAGATCTCTGTCTTTGGAGTGGCACCCTGTGCGGTTTAAGGTTTCAGAAGTTGGCCTGCGTGGAGGCAGAAGGGAGAGCAGCAGGGAGCTTGCTAGCATTCTCTGTGGGGCAGGGCGGCTGTGCCCACACTGGGGGAGACCACGGGCTCCTCCACGCCTTTTCACGGAGCCTAGGGCAGCTTCCAGCTGCCTTTCCCTCTCGTCTCTCGAGGACTCTACAACTAGAATCCACAGCTGATGATCTTTTTAGAGTTAAGTGATGAAGCTCTGCTTTGTGGTCTCCTCTCTTTTGCTTTCTTAAAAGATAAACAGTAACAACCACCCCCCCGCCCCCCAAGCCCCACCAATTTTTAGCAAAGGAGAGTACTGGATTCCTGTTTTGCAAAAAAAAAAAAAATGTCCTCTCGCTTCCTTAAAAATGATAGTTTACTCCTCTAACTGCTCCCCGCTCTGGTGATCTAATCATAAACCTAACTTCATGATTCATTTCAACTCCTGCCAGAGATGCGAGGTTGGAGGCAAAGGAATGCTGCTCACCACCACCACCAGCAGCACCATCAGAGCCAGTGTCCTTTCAAGTTTGTACAGGGAAACCAGAGAACCTTTCCTATACACATGCAGCCCTGCTGGGGCCCCGGCCTCAGTGAATTTACCACTAGCAGTATCACACTGTTAAATTAAGAACAGAATCCACAGCTCTCCCTGCACGGAATAGCCTTTCTGCTGCAGAGAACTTGAAACCATGCCTAAAATTTATAGTACCGTAAACATCTCAGGGCTGAGAGTGATAAGTATGGCTGGATTTCCGTTAGCTATAGAAATCCAGGCAGGGAGACCCCCTAGGGAGCTGCGCGTTCTAAGAGGAACTTTCAGATGGTTCTCAGATTTGTGCTCCTCCGGATGCATGTACTTGAGCAGTTGGAGCCAGGTACACACAGGCGGCAGTTGAGAAAAGAGAACTTGTTTCAGATACCACCAGGTGGTAGCAGGGGAAGTGAGGGGACCTCACTTTGATCAATCAAAGAATTCTAGTCTGGACACCCGCTTCTTGCAGTAAATGTTGTTGCAGGGATACAGGGGCTTGTAGTAAGAGAAGGAAATGAATGACTTTTTCTCATTTTAGAATTAGGCAAGAACTGAGTGGTTCCTGCATTCAACCACTCTGCCAATGTAGGGGTCTCCTCTCTTATTAACAGCTGTTGCTATATTTGGACTCTCTAAGCAGCATTCAAGGGCTTCCTTGAATGGAAGGAATGAGCCACCTTGAATGGTGGCTCAGCAGTCAAGAATCTGCCTGCAATGCAGGAAATGTAGGTTTGATCCCTGAGTTGGGAAGATGCCCTGGAGAAGGAAATGGCAATCCACTTCAGTATTCTTGCTTGGCAGATTCCATGGACAGAGGAACCTGGTGGGCTATAGTCCATGGGATCACGAGAGTCGAACACAGCTTAGTGACTAAACCTCCAAACTGCTAAAGGAAGGAGGCAAAACTGAGGGATACAAGGGTAGGAGGTCGATCTCTTCTAGTTCGGTGCTAAGGGTGCCTCCATTTGTTAATAAAGAAGCAAGTACTTGACTACTTCCTTCTAAATCCTGGGCTATGACAGTAAGCGAGATAGAGAGGACCTCAGACCTGGGGTGTCCTAAGTTGGACTGGCAGGAGAGTGGGGGTGGAGGTGGGGAAGAGGCATCACTTCTAGGGGAAGAGGAGTCACCCCATCTAAAAGTCAAAGCTTTATTAAGGGCAGTCACTGTGGATGGCGTTTGGGGAGCAAGGGTTTTCTAGGTAGGAAAACAGCAACTGTCAGTGCCTGGAGATGAGAGGTTTGTGAGATGTTCACGCTGTGAGGCTGGACCACAGAGATGGGGTGCTGGGAGAGACCTGAGCCGGAAGGTGGGCGCAGCTCAGGTACAGCCCAGAGTTCCCTGCAGTTTCTGTCTTATACTGAGGACAGCAGGAGCTCAGTGCAGGACTGGACAGAACAAGTGATGGGAATGAGTCCACCTCTGGGAAAGATCCCTTTACCTGCTTAATGGAGAAATGATGGGAGAGGGGCCTGACTCCCTGCTGGCCTGACAGCTTGTGCCTAAGAGAGATGGCTGTTGCAGTGACCCAGGAAAGGAATGGTGGGGCGTGGAGCAGGTTGTGGCTGCGGAGGAGGAGGCAAGCCCCGTGGGGACACGCCAGGAAGTGCTGTGTGTGCTCAGTTGGCCAGTCGTGTCCGACTATTTGAGACCCCGTGGACTGTAGCCCACCAGGCTCCTCTGTCCATGGGGATTCTCCAAGCAAGAATACTGGAGTGGGTTGCCAAGCCCTCCTCCAGGGGATCTTCCCAACCCAGGGATCGAATCCAGGTCGCCTGCATTGTAGGTGGATTCTTTCACCATCTGATCCACCAGACACTACAGGCAGTCTTACATAGCAGGGTGTTTGCATATTTGTTTCAGGGATAATAGTGTCTCTACAGCTTGCTAGAGCTTATAGTATATCTTCGTCTATCTTATCCTGTTGGGTCCTTCCAAACCTATGAGATAATGGGCCAGATGTCACTATATTATTCCCATTTTATAAAAGGTAAGACTCAGGTTAAGCAGTTAGTCAACAGACCCCGGCTCCCAGACACACTCAGATCTAGTTTCTCTTCTTTCTAGAGCAAGAGTTGATGAAGTTTCTCTGAAAAGGGCCAAAGAGTAAGTCTCTTAAGCTTTGTGGGCCAAATGGACTCTGTCGTGACTATTCAAATCCAAAATCTAGTGCAAAGCAGCCACAGACAACCTGTAAAGAAATGAGCCTAGCTGGGATCCAGTAAAAATTCATGGGCACTGCAATTTAAATTTCATACAATTTTCACATGTCACAGCATCCTATTTTTCTTCAGCCATTTAACAATGTCCAAACCATTCTTAAGATACATAGGCCTTCATTCGCAGAGCCTGGTTAGAGATGATTTGTAACAGAAGCTGCCATGCTTGCCAGAAATTAGGAGGTGGCCTTGAACCTGATATTAACGTATCCCTGCTCTCTTTTGTTCTGTGTTTCATCTTTAGGCACAGCCAGGAAGACGCTGCACTTTGAGATTTCCAAAGAAGGCAGTGACCTGTCCGTGGTGGAGCGCGCAGAAATCTGGCTCTTCCTGAAGGTTCCCAAGGCCAACAGGACCCGGAGCAAAGTCACCATCCGTCTCTTTCAACAGCAGAAGCACCTGCAGGGCAGCTTGGATGCAGGGGAGGAGGCTGAGGAAGTGGGCTTGAAGGGGGAGAAGAGTGAAATGTTGATATCGGAGAAGGTGGTGGATGCTCGGAAGAGCACCTGGCACATCTTCCCCGTCTCCAGCTGCATCCAGCGGTTGCTGGACCAGGGCAAGAGCTCCCTGGACATACGGATTGCCTGTGAGCAGTGTCAGGAGACCGGTGCAAGCCTGGTGCTCCTGGGCAAGAAGAAGAAGAAAGAAGAGGAGGGGGAAGGGAAGAAGAGGGATGGAGAAGGAGGGGCGGGAGGGGACGAGGAGAAGGAGCAGTCGCACAGACCTTTCCTCATGCTGCAGGCCCGCCAGTCTGAAGACCACCCTCACCGGCGCCGGCGGCGGGGCTTGGAGTGTGACGGCAAGGTCAACATCTGCTGTAAGAAACAGTTCTTTGTTAGTTTCAAGGACATTGGCTGGAATGACTGGATCATCGCTCCCTCGGGCTACCACGCCAACTACTGTGAGGGTGAGTGCCCCAGCCACATAGCAGGCACGTCGGGCTCATCCCTCTCCTTTCACTCGACGGTCATCAACCACTACCGCATGCGGGGCCACAGCCCCTTCGCCAACCTCAAGTCGTGCTGTGTGCCCACCAAGCTGAGACCCATGTCCATGTTGTACTATGATGATGGGCAGAACATCATCAAGAAGGACATCCAGAACATGATCGTGGAGGAGTGTGGTTGCTCATAGAGCGCCCAGCCCAGGGGGGATGGGAGCGAGATGGTCCAGAGAAGACAGTGGTGACATGAAGACATGTTTAAGGTTTCTGACTGAAACAACCAGAAAAAAAAAAAAAAGAAATTAAAAAAAAAAAAAAAACTAAAAGCAAAACCTGAAGCAGATGAAGGAAGATGTGGAGAAACTCCCTAGCCAGGGCTCAGAGATGAAACAGTGAAGGAGATGGGAATTGCGGGGGAGAGGGAGAGTGGGGTGCCCTTCACTTCTTCCTCCAGCATCCGAGGGGTGACAGCAGTTGCTCAAACGGGAATATCATCCTCTCCTTTTCAGTTCCCTTTCCGTATGAGCCTCGAAGTCAGCTTGTCTGGTCTGCAGTAATGTGGGCTGACACAACCCAAATAGCATCTAGAAAGCCATGCGTTTGAAAGGGCCATTTATAGGCACTTTCCCACCCAGTAACCCAGGTCGTAAGGTATGTCTGTGTGACCCTCTCTCTGTGTATATCAGCCCATGCACACACACAAAGACACACACACCCCTCGCAGACACACACACATACCCACCACACACACACACCCCTACACACAGATGCACACATACAGACCACACACCCCACCACGTACACATGAACACACACCAGACCTCGTACACACAGAGACACACATCGAACACACACAAAGGCATTTCCATACCACACACACACACATACACATATTCTGGTAAAAGAACACTAGTGTGCAGGTGGTCACACCTTCTTTTTCTGCACCACTTCCGCAGCAAAACAATAACCAACATGAAAAAAAAAAATTGAGAACAAGAATGGGAAGCATGAAAGATCAAGGAAAAAAGAATACCAAGTTACATTTCGTTAAGGTGCTTATGATCTTAGAACTATGCAACCTAATAGGTTTGAAACTGTTTACCTGAGAGAGAACAAAAAGAGAGACTTTTTTGTATTGGAAGTAACCTGATTAATTTTTATTTTCTTCAAGGAGAGATACTTGAAAGGAATATGTTTGTCCATCTGTTGGATCCAAACATTTCTATATTTTGTAAATGTTGTTTTTTTTTTATCGTTTACTATTTGCACTACAATGGTGTTCGACCTGTCTAATCCTTATTTAACAAGTATTTTCTTTGGGTGGGGGTGGGGTGGGGTTCAGAGCTGCACTTAATGTGAGCTATAAAAGAACTGCTACAGCACACAAAATAGCTATTTTTATTATTATAATTATAATTATTATTATTATTTTGTACCTTAAAAAATAGACACATACACCAAAGACATTTGTGTGAGCCTTTAAACAGTCTGTCTGTGGTTGGTATCATTCACCATCAATGAGTCAGGGGTTGGGATTCAAGGTTGAGTAAGGTGGATTGTGTTCAGGCTTGAAAGACCTGAAAAGTTTGGGTTTTTTTTTTTTTTTTTGACTCCTTATACATCCATGAAACAGGACATTTCATACTGGATGTACAGTAGTTGTACACTGTTGGATATCAAGTTCAATCAGATTCATGGAACGCTCCATGCTCGTATGTGTATATATACAGTGCTCGGGCACATGCATGTCTGTGTGTATGTATACATGTGGCGCATCGTGTCCATACACATTTTAAGCACTTCAGGCTGTCATTTTTTAAATGTTCTTAAGGCAATGAATGTTTGTGTGCAAAACACAGTATTTTTAAGAAGGATAGGCTATCGTTTTTGCTTTTACTCTGAACTAGGTGGGCACATTTCAAAAATTTGGATGGGAAAAGCCTAGGAATTCCAGTGAATATTCAGCAAGACCCTCTTTTAATGTACAGGGATCCAATTCCCTCCTCTTTCTTGTCCTCCAACCCCATCCTACAAGTTACTTACTCCCTGCAGGGAAAACAAAACAGGAAACTCATGTTCCATCTAGGCTGATTATTTGGATAACATATGTATTATCTGTTGGAATCAATCTTAAATCAGAAGCTTTTTCAGGAAAAAAAATTAACCTGTAAGCCAGGATAAAAGAGGTGGGTGCATTTTTTAATTTGCTTTTTTATGATTAAGGTCTGGTTGTGAGAAATATTACCTGTGCAGCTGGACTCAATAACGTTGCTGTCACTAGTTAAACGATAAATAATTTGGGGGAAGGTGTTTAAGAGCATGGGAGTAAGAAAAAGAATGGGAGACAGGAATGAGGGCAGTAGTAAAAATCCCTGATATTTTAATTTACAGCCCAGATTCTTGATGTATAAATTGGTATGCATTGATTCAGATGTGAAAAGGAAAAAAAAAAAACACTTTGTTTTATAAATATCAAAGTACATGCTTAAAGCTAAATTGTTACTGATTTATTCTATGATATTAAGCTTGCCTAGGTCATACTTATTCATTTATGTGCTTTTTAAAATACAGAGCCTTACTTATACTGATTTGTTGAAATTTGTGAAAGTTGGGGGGGAAAAAAGGTCTCATGGGGGAAATTACATTTGTTAGAATTCTGTAAAATATTGAAGCTTTCAGCCCTATGCCAATTTGTAGATTTTTTAGAAACATTAATAGTAGGAAAATAAAGTATCAGTGAGAAATCATTCCCAAGGGGATTTAGCTCTTCTTGAGAAATAGACCAAATCAATCTGCTATCTACTAGGCTGTATGTAGGCAGATTTAATGTTGTGACCTGGCTGTACATACTACAGTCTAGAGGTTCATCCTTTGTTGTGCAGGAAACCCCACACGAGTGCATAAGAATAGATTCTAATTAAGTATGAGATGGAGTGCATGCAACATTGATACTTCCTCACCCTTAACCATTGACTAAGAAATTGGGCAGCTGAGTGTCATGAAATTTTCATGAAAAACTTTGAGGGCCTTTTGAACTGCTTCTTATTTGGCATTGGAACTAATAGAGGGAATCTATGAAAATAGTATGGGAAATCAAGTCCTAGTTCACTGTGTAATGGCAGAGATGGCCCAGGCAATAGACAAAGCGAAAAGAGGTTGAAAAAATAGATGATCTCTGTCTGTGGCTCCCATTCATCTCAAATATGTATGCCATCCACTGAAGCCTTTAAATCTTGGATATGTTGAGGGTACAATGGGGTTTGCTAAGTGACCACAGTAATTAGTATACTGCAGAGCTAAATGAAATTACATATGACAATATTTTAATGGGAAGATTTCATTTAATAAATTACACATCTCCAAACTTTAATTAAAATATTTTATTAAATGTATATGGCCTTGAAATAGAATGATAAATTACAACTATCTTTGATCATCTTGGAAGTTTTGCAACTTTGTAAACAGCTATGCTGTTCATGGAGCAGCGTGAGGTCAAAAGAAAAAGCTTTTAAATTCCACCAGACTGGGTCTTCCCTATCTGTTTTCCTAAAGCAAGTTTAGCTTCATCTGATCTGTGCTCTTTCTGTAGGGCTCATTTCTAGGCTCTTAAAAGTCTACCCACATCCAATCTTCAAAATCTGAAAAGCATGTGTTCCCAAATAATTTTTAAGAATCCTAAATATGTAGATTTGATTGACTTTTTCTTTTTCTTTTTTTTTTTCCAAAAAAAGTAAGGTGAATTCCAGAACACTGAGTTGGGATTTTCTTATCTCTGAAGACCAATCAATTTCATACTTATTTAAGATTGATTCCATACTCTGATTTTAAGGAGAGTACCTGCCTTCTCCAAGTGAATTTTTTTGTCACCCTCAAGAGGTTGAACATCAAGGTGACTCTAAAATCAAAAAAGGCAAATGCCTTCGTGCTATTAAGCTTAGACTCAAATTATCATGTTCACTTGAAAAAATGATTTCCTGTGGGCCTTTTGGAAACTTCTCTTTTCAATATAGAGAAAAACTTAGTCACCCTGAAAACCTACACAATAAATGGAACTTGTAGATGTGGGCAGAAGTCTTGGGGGTGGACACTGTGTATGTTTAAATTAAACCCTTTATCACTGAGAAGCTGTTGTATGGGTCAGAGAAAATGAATGCTTAGAAGCTGTTCACATCTTCAAGAGCAGAAGCAAACCACATGTCTCAGCTATATTATTATTTATTTTTTATGCATAAAGTGAATCATTTTTTCTGTATTAATTTCCAATGGGCTTTACCCTCTATTTAAATGCTTTGAGAAACAGTGCATTGACAATGGGTTGATATTTTTCTTTAAAAGAAAAATATAATTATGAAAGCCAAGATAATCTGAAGCCTGTTTTGTTTTAAAACCTTTTATGTTCTGTGGTTGGTGTTGTTTGTTTGTTTGTTTGTTTTATTTTGATTCTTTTTTTTTTTTGGCATATTACATGCAGTTCTTTAACCAATGTCTGTTTGGCTAATGTAATTAAAGTTGTTAATTTATATGAGTGCATTTCAACTATGTCAATGATTTCTTAATATTTATTGTGTAGAAGTACTGGTAATTTTTTTATTTACGATATGTTTAAAGAGATAACAGTTCGATATGTTTTCATGTGTTTATAGCAGAAGTTATTTATTTCTATGGCATTCCAGCGGATATTTTGGTGTTTGCGAGGCATGCAGTCAATATTTTGTACAGTTAGTGGACAGTATTCAGCAACGCCTGATAGCTTCTTTGGCCTTATGTTAAATAAAAAGACCTGTTTGGGATTTATTATTTTTATTTTTATTTTTTGTCTTATTGATTTCCCAAGATCAACCTTGCACACATATTGCCATGTCTTTTGCTGGGTGACAATTTTGTTTCTACCATAATTATCTGGAAAAATATGAGAAAAATAGATCACATGGGAGAGAGAGAAAAAAAACTGAACTAAGAGAGCTCAAATAGAAAAAGAATATATATTGCTGTGGCAGGCAGAGGTTTGTAATGGATTGCAGGTACTTGTGAAGTGAAAGTGAAAGTTGGTCAGTCATATCTGACTCTTTGTGACCCCTTGGACTGCAGCCTGCCAGGCTCCTCTGTCTGTGGAATTTTCCAGGCCAGAATAGTGAAGTGGGTAGCCATTCCCTTCTCCAAGGGATCTTCCCAACCCAGGGATTGAACCCAG